AAAAAAAAAAAAAAGTAAAAAACCAAAATTCCAGACTCCTGAAAATGGTTAATGACTAACGTCTGACTCTTGCAAAAAGTTATCTTATAGAGTCACGGGACTTGGTTGACTAAAAACCCAATGACATCTTAAACCTGGAGAAACAGAAATGAGGAATTGAGAAGGAAGGATCAAAGGACCCTAATTTAGACTATCCATGCTGGTCTCCCTAGCTGCGGGGAGTCAGCCCCTATGCCTGGAGGATCTCATTTTTAAATAAATCTTCTTTTCTATTCCTCTGGCCTGGTTCCTCAAGCCATTGGCAACCCAACCTTAAAAATACCAACCTTCTCTGCTGCCCAGGGGTCGCTTTGCTTATTGCAATGCACGTTTCCCTTCATAGAGGCACGAAGGAGTTACTAGGCTTTCTCCACGAAGGAAAACAAGGCCAGCCAGGGTCAGACCGCACACGCAAGGGGGAGCCACCGAACACCGGTCACGAGTCAAAAGGCTCTACGTTCCCGCCGGAACCTTTCCCTGCGGCACCGAGAGGACCAGATACCGGAAGCGGAAGAGCGCGACCTCGGTCGCCAGCAGTTTGGTAGCGCTCCTGCTCGGGTGGAAGGTAGGTTTTTTTTCCTTTTTCGACCGTCAGCCTGCTCCCCTGGCGGGTCCCCCCGCAGACTCCGGTTCCGGGTTCGAGACGCTGTCGGTCTCGGTCTCTCCGCCTCCCAGAGCCTCGGGACGTCCTGTCGCCGGGGCGCCGCGGCCGCCGACGCTTCCTTCGCGATCCCGGCCAGGCGGCCGCCGCCGCTTTTTGGCCGCTGACCAGCGAGAGCGGACTTGCGTCCCTCGGCGCGGGAACAGGTAACATCGCGGGACCCCTGGCGGAGCAAACGTGAGGTTGTCAGCCCCGGAGCGGCCGCGTCACCGGAAGTTGGCGATAAATGCGGAATAAATGGCCCCGTGAACGCCCGTGTCGTTAGCCTGAATCTAAACGCTCCGACACCCCGTGTTTTCCTTTTACAGCATGGCCGCTGCCAGATATTTCCATCTCATCTGTCAGTGCGCCCTAACGTTCGCGCCTGCGCGCAATAAAACCTCCCCCTAGTTAATATCAAAGCAGCTGTGGGTGCCTAGTGCCTAATGCATTTGTCTGCTAACCACCAAGCTGGAGGTTCAAACCCCCCAGCCATTCTGAGGAAGGAGGACTGGTCAGTCTGCTTCCATGAAGATTGGCAGCCTTAGAAACCCAGTGCCGGTCGCTGTGAGTTGGAACGCACTGGATGGCAGTGGGCTTCGTTTTTTGGTTTAGCAAATACCAGGCAGGTGCGTGCTTGGACCCATAAGGGACACAGTTACAGAGGAGAACCCACAACTTCAGCATTGGACCCCTGCTTCCCTGAAGGAAATCAGGGTCAAGTGTCTCAGGCACTGGGATCAGTGAATTCCTCCATTTGTGGTCTTGTTACAGAAAGGGGAGGCCCGGGGAGCTGCATGGGAAATGCAGGCGTGGGCTCTGAAGGCTGGAGCCTGTTGGCCTTCAGTGCAGATGCCCTCAGGGTGGAGCATGGCGCTGGACCTGGGAGGAAGCCACACACCCGTCACTCCTGGGGACTCACCACTGTCTCCTCCCATCCTTCTTCCATTTCAGGTCTGCAGTGTGGGGCAGGGAGAACTGGGCCAGCAGTCCAGGCAGCCGGGGACCTAGGGTGACCATCTTGCACATCCGTAAATCTCCAGGAAGGATTTCGGCTGCTCTGACTGGTGTGTGGACCAAATATCACTCATCCGCCTCCCAACTGCCCAGTGCCCTGCTTCTACTCCCCTCCCTCTTCCTGAAGTGGCTCCTAGGGCTCAGAGACGCATTCCCTGAGACCTCCAGAAGGGACAGCCAGGAAATGGTGAGTTGTACAGCGAACTGATTCCTCTTACCCTAAGTCGGTGAGGGCGGATCTGAATTATTGCAGACCAGCTATGTGCTCTGGGGCTATGGTTCTGCAGTGACATAAAAGGTGGCCAAGGAGGACCAGGCACTGAGTCCCGGGAGGCATCCCAAGGCCTTGCCGCTCCATGGTCACTGGGCCTTTCATCATATGTATGTACTTTTTAAGACTTGAATGCCTGGGGTCACCTTTCTCTGACTCTCAGAGCTGTCTCTGTGGGGTGTTCCCATCCCCACCCTGGGCCTCTGTGCTGAATGACAGTCTCCCGACCAGAGCCTGAGGACGGAGCAGCCCTGGCTGGGGTGGCTGCAACCCAGCCCTCCAGAGACAGGCTTGTCCAGTTCTAGTATCAGTTTTCTTGACTTCCCCTAGGCACTGGAGCATTTTGTGAGTTCTAAAACCACAGCTCACACACACGCGCACACACACACACACAGTGTTACAACCTAGGGGGAGAAAAAACCAAACTTACTGCCATCCAGTCCATTTGACTCATAGCAATCCTCCTTCTGAGGTTTCTGAGGCAGTATCTCTACGGAAGTAGATTGCCCAACTTTCCTTCTGAGGAGTGGCTGGTGAGTTTGAACCACCAGCCTTCTGGTTAGCAGTCAAGTGCCTTAGGGACTATGCCACCACAGCTCTCATAGCCTAGGAAAAGGGAGACAGAGCCTGCAGGGGAGGCCTAACTGTTGATGGGGTCCTGGCTGGTGTAGGTGCTCTCCTGATGTCACCAAAGGTATGAAGCTGGGGACACTGAGTCCAGCTGGGCAGTGTTTTGTTCAGTTACACGTGACTCTATGAGTCAGAGCTGGCTCGATGACACCTAACCACGCTGTAATGTCTTTGTCTTGTTCGATCATTTGGGTGATGATGTTGTTTATGTTGTTGGGTGCTGCTGAGTCCTCTCCAACTCACAGCGACCCTATGTACACAGAACAATATACTGCCTGTCCTGTGCCAGTCCCACGATCCTTGCTGCACTTCAGCCCATTGCTGCAGCCACTGTGTCAATCCACTGATTGAGGGCCTTCCCCTTTTGCGTTGACTTCCACTTTACCAAGCGTGATATCTTTCTCCAGGAAATGGTCCTTTCTGACGACATGACCGAAGTAGGTGAGACCAAGTCTGGCCATTCTGGCTGCACTTCTTCCAGGACAGATTTGTTAGTTATTTTAGCAGTCCTCAGTACTTTCAGTGTTCTTGGCCAGCACCAAAATTGAAAAGCATCAACTCTTCTTTGGTCTTCCATATTCATTGTCCAGCTCTCACATGCATACGAAGCAATTGGAAATACCATGGCTTGGGTTAAGCGCACCTTCATCTTCAAGAAGACATCTTTGTTCTTCAGCACATGAAAGAGATCTTTTGCAGCAGATTGCCCAGTGTAATACATCGTCTGATGTCTTTCTTTTCTTTTTTTCTTTGTAGTGTGATTTGGGTGAAAATTTACAGAGCAAATTCCCTTTCCATACAGCAGTTCACATATACTTTGTCTCATGATATTGACTACAATTTGCCGCAATGCAACAGCTCCCCTCCCACTTCTTCCCGATAGTTACCTCTTTCCTGTGTCCATCCCTCCATGCGCTCCTGCCCCCTGAGCTGTCTCCCTGTGCAGACACAGCTCTTCTTTCTCCCAGGATTGTTCTCTCCAAGGAATGTATCTACCTCAGGTAAATGTTTAGCTCATATGCCTGTCTTTTGTTTGGCTGGAAACTACAGGTGTGGGTTCAATTCCAGACCTGAAGGGCAGCCAGGGGCCGTAGTCTCAGTGGTTCCACCAGGCTCTATCGGACCAGCAAACCTGGTCCCCCCAGCCTTTTTTTTTTTTTGCAAATGATTTTGAGTTTTGTCCCACATTGTTCTCCCTCTCTATCCAGGGTCTGCTACATATATACCCCTCCGGGTGATTGACAGTGGTAGTCGGGCACCATCTAGTTCTTTTGATCTCATAGTCGTACAGGCTGCGGATCACATGGTGTACCAGTTGCTTGGAATAATTCTTTCCAGGAATCTTTGGTTTTCTTCATTCTTCTTTGCTCTGAAGAGACGCATTGTTGCATCTAGATGGCTGCTTGCAAGCTTTTAAGATCCCAGTCACTACTCATCAAAGTAGGAGGTGGAACAATGTCTTGTGTAGTATGTTATACCAATTGAGGTTGATGTCCCCTGTGACTATGGTCAACGGCCCACAGGTTCAACTACTTGGTCCCTCTAGGTAGCTGGCTGTGATCAAGAAGTGATTACAACCTTGTCCCTTGTCAGCTCTACTATACACCTGGGAATTCAGATCATACAAATACACTTACAGGACCATTGTCCACCAACCCTATATATGGTCTTGGGTACACTCCCCGCTTCATAGACATACCTAGCTTCATAGACATACCTAATAGTTCAGTTTGTCCACCCATCTATCCACCCGTGTATACATGTTTGCCTTTACTAACAATGTAGTACTGTATGTGCAAAAGGGTTCATCTTTGTTGTCTGTACCTCCCATGTACCTCTGTCTGTCTTCCTCTTCCTCAGTGCCACCATGTCTATCACTCACATTCAGTACATTGCCCTTCTCTTCACCCAAATCAATACTTATCTCTACCTATCTAACAGTGTTCTCTCCCTTCCCCTCCCCTCCCACCCCTGGTAACCAACAAAGAAAATTTCCTTCCACAGATAAACCTTTCCTTGACTTTTACAATAACGGACCAATATAATATTTGTCCTTCTGTGATTGACTTACTTCACTTAGTATAATATCCTCCAAGTTCATCCCCATAATGCGGTGTTTTGCAGATTCTACGTTATTCTTTAGGGTTGCATAGTACTCCATTTTGTGTATTACCATAGTTTGGTTATCCATTCCTCAGTTGATGGACTTCTAGGTTGTTTCCATCCTTTGGCTATTGTAAATAGTGCTGCAATGTACATGGGTGTGCATATGTCTGTTCTTGTCCTGGCTCTCACTTCTTTAGGGTATATACCTAGTAGTGGGATGGCTGGGTCAAATGGTATTTCTAATTCCAACTTTTGAAGGAATCGCCATACTGCTTTCCACGGTAGTTGTCCCATTTT